ACAAAATTTTTTATTTGTGGCCTTAAAATAATCTGTAACAAATTAATTCGATGATATGTGACTAATAATTATGAATCTGTGGCCATTATAATCATGTAAGTGTGACTTTATTATATTTAATTAATAAATATTTTCAATTAATTTTACAGAAACCTGAATTTTGAATTTTTGAACTTTATACCAGATTTGTGAATTGATGTAAACAATATTCCTGAATTGTGATTTTTTCCGACAGGCATATTTATTGATTAGGACTATGTTGGTTAACATATTTGGGCCTATTGATTTTATTGGATATAATTGGGTTGCATTGGTTATTTAGGGCCTATCAATTTTACTTAATATAATTGGGCCTATTCCTTTTATTGGACTGATTATTTAGATTGTGGTTATTGGTGGAGTTGCATAATTATTTAAATTGGGCTTGTGAGCTATTAGGCCTTTTATTTTATAATGTCTACTCGAATGTCCGATATCTTCGATGTGAAATTTATGGGTAAGAATTACTCTGCCTGGAAATTTCAATTTTGACTTTTTGTTACTGGGAAGGAATTATGGGGTCATATAGATGGAATTGATTCAGCTCCCATGGATCCTACAGAACTGGCAAAATGGAAGATTAAAGGTGCCCGAGTTATGACTTGGATTTTAGGATCTATTGACCCTCTGATTATCCTAAATCTGAGGTCGTACAAGAATGCTAAGAGTATGTGGGAATATTTGAAGAAGGTCTATCATCAGGATCACATAGCCCGGCGATTTCAATTGGAGTCTGACATTGCTAGTTATACTCAAGGCGATCTCTCCATCGAGAATATTTTTCTGAATTTCAAAATTTATGGGCAAAATATGCTAACATAATCTATGCAAAGATACTAGATGGTTCACTAGCTGCAATCCAAGAGGTTCACAAGCAAAGCAAGAGAGATTAATTTTTTATGAAGTTGTGGCCTAAATTCAAGGTTGCTCGATCTAATCTGATGAATCGCAATCCATCCCCTTCTTTAGATGTGTGCTTCGAAGAGTTATTTTGGGAAGAGCAAGGTCTTGCTACACAAGCTACTTACCAGCAAAACAAACTACCAACTAATGCATTTGCCTATGCGGCCAAAGAGAAAGGCAAGGATAGAGATATGCGAAAAGTTCAATGCTTTAGCTGCAAGGAATATAGACATATTGCTGCCCACTGTGCGAAGAAGTATTGCAACTAATGTAAGAAGCTAGACATACCATCAAAGATTGTCCTACTTGTCCTCTGAATCGTAAAGCTAATGCTTACCAGGCTACAGTTGGCCATTCCTCTTCCACTGGTGGTAATTTATCTGTTCTTACACCTGAGATGGTCCAGCAGATGATTATTTCATCTTTTTTAGCCTTGGGTCTTCAAGGTAACGGTTCCCTACCATCATCATCATGGCTTGTTGATTTCGTTGCATCTAATTATATGACTAGTTTTCCTAGTATTCTTAGTAATATTCGGACATATAAAGGATCCTCATACATTCAGATTGCTAATGGCAATCAGTTACCTATTCATGCTATTGGAAATGTTAATTCTTCTGTTAGAGATGTTTTCGCATTCCCTGCGCTTTCCACTAATCTTATATCTGTAAGCCAGTTGGTTGATAATAACTGTGACGTTCATTTTTCTCGTGATAGCTGTCTTGTGCAGGATCAGTTGTCAAGGAAGACACTCGCGAATGGGCCTAAAGTAGATCGATTATTTTCCCTATATTTTTCTATTCCTTCATTTATATCTATGGCTTGTACTAATGTTAGCAAAGAGTACAGTATGGCAGAAACGGTTAGGTCATCCTAACTCTGTTGTTTTATCTCATCTAATAAATTCCAGCTTGTTAAGCAATAAAGATCAATTTTCACCTCATATTTCTCTTGATTGTTCTACATGTAAATTAGGTAAAAGTAAGTCTTTTCCCTTCTCCTCTCAGGTTAGTCCGGCTAAAAGAAGTTTTGATTTGATTTATAACAATGTGTAGGGTATGTCTCTTGTTATATATCATGCACATTATAAATATTTTGTTACATTCATTGATGATTACAACAAGTATGCCTGGATATATTTTCTACGTTCCATCTATCTTTCAAAATTTTGCCAATTATGTTGAAAATCAATTCTCTTTGAGCATTAAAATATTAAGATCTAATTCAAGAGGTGAATATATATGTCATAACTTTCACGATTTTCTTCACCAAAAAGGCAGAGGTGAATATATATGTCATAACTTTCACGATTTTCTTCACCAAAAAGGCACTGTCTCCTAATGTTTCAGTCCCTATATACCTCAGCAAAATGGTGTTGTCTAAGAATGGTCATCTATTAGATGTTGCTCGGACATTATTGCTTGAATATTTTGTTCCACCAAAATTCTAGGTCGAAGCTTTATCTAAGGCAATCTATTTAATTAATCGATTACCTTATAGTGTTTTGAAATTTGAGACTCTCTATTATCGCCTATATCATCAGCATCCCAACTATTTTGACATACATACATTTGGTTGTGTTTGTTTTGTCCATTTGCCTCATCATGAACGAAACAAACTTTCTGCTCAATCTATTAAGTGCGCATTATGGGTTATAGTACTTCTCAAAAAGGCTACATTTGCTATAATCCTTGCTCTAATAGATTTCATATATCTCATCATGTTGTATTTTTCAAAAATCAATATTTCTTTCCCACTCATGCTGAACCTTTGACTGAGATCGAGATAAATGTTTTTCTGCACTTTGACAACATGCCTTTTACTTTCGAACAATTCAAGCCTGGATTTGTGTATAAACAACGTCCCCCAACTTTGCCCCCTCCTGAGCCTGATCCGCCATCTGAACCTACTTAGACGATGTCTTCCGAGAATGAGCTGGATTCTAGAACTATTCCTTGTTGCTCTACCAAAATTTATCGTCCTCCAGATCGGTATGGATTTTCTCTCACATCATTTCTTGCTACTTTTTCATCCATCCCTATTCCTACATAGTATTCTAAGACTATCAAGCGTGAATGTTGGCGAGAGGCAATGGTAGAAGAACTTCGCGCTCTTAAGGATAATCATACCTAGGATAATGTTCTTTATCCTGCAAATGTTAAAGCTATTGGTTGTAAGTAGGTTTACTCGATCAAACTCCGTTCTGATGGGACTTTAGATTGATATAAGGCATGGTTGGTTACACTGGATAACAGACAGGAATATGGAGTGGACTATGAAGATACCTTTGCTCCAGTTGCCAAAATGACTACAGTACGAACCATCATTTCTATTGCTGCTTCCCAACGTTGGTCACTTTATCAAATGGATGTTAAAATGCATTTTTCCATAATGATTTCAAAAAAGAGGTTTACATGAATCTATCTCTTGGCCTAACCTCCACCTCTTCCTCAGATGTCATTAAATTGAAGAGCTAGTTATATGGGCTGAAACAAGTTCCACGGGCTAGGTTTGATAAGTTTCGATCTACATTGCTTCAATTTTCCTTCCAGCAGAGCCAATATGACCCTTCCTTATTTCTTTGCAAGACCTCTACTGGTATTTTTCTTCTCCTCTCTATGTTAATGACATTGTTATCACTAGTTCAGAGTCTACCTTGATTATCCTTCTACAGTAGCACTTTCAGACATCATTTCATATAAAGGATCTTAGTTCTCTTACATACTTCTAAGGCTTGGAAGTTCACACTGATCCCTCTGGTATCTTTCTAAATCAACATAAGTACACGCAGGATTTGATTAAGTTGGTCGGTCTTCAGGATTCATCTATTGTGGATACTCTCCTAGAAGAAAATAGAAAATATCATTGTGAGAAAGGTAATCTTCTATCTGATCCTATTGTGTTTCGTCAACTGGTGGGCAATTTAAATTATCTATCACTGGGCCTGATATTTTCTTCACAGTCCAACAGGTTAGCCAATTTATGCACACTCCCCGTCATCTATATTTTACTGCTGTTCGTCGTGTCATTTGCTAACTTCGAAGCACACCTAGTCGTGGATTATTTCCTGTCGACTCTCCTATTCATCTTACTGCTTTTAGTGATGCCGATTGGGCTGACTGTCCTGACAGCCGACAATCTGTTACGGGATGGTGTATGTTTTTTGATGATTCTCTGATCTCCTATGAGAGTAAGAAACAAGATCGGGTTTCTAAGTCCTCTATTGAATCTGAATATTGAGCAAAGTTTGTTACCTGCTCCGATATCATCTGGCTTTGTGGCCTTCTGGCTGAACTTGATTTTCCTCAGTATGCTCCCACTCCTCTCCATGCTGATAACATGAGTGTCATTCAAATTGCTACTAACCATGTTTATCATGAGCATACAAAACATATTGAAGTGGATTGTCATTCTATTCGGGAGGCTTTGGATACTCACGTCATTTCTCTTCTTCATATTTCCACTACCCTTCAGATAGCTAGCATTTTTTACCAAAGCCATAACTCATCAATTTCTTATCAGCAAATTGATGCTTCTTGACCAACCAGCATCAATTTAAGGAGGGGCGTTAGTAGGATATAATCCCTTGTAGGATATATTCCCGTGTAATTGGTCCCATGAAATTAGTGTACATGGATAGCAAAAATTATGTAACAGCTGATCTACAGCCTTGTAATTAGCCTTATTTTAAGAAGAGCAACTCTCAAATGGAGAGGCTTCAAACTGAAGACAAATTGGCTTTGTCGGTGACAAGAAGCAATTATTTGAGCGCACGAAATTTAGCTCCCATCTGAGCCTTTGCATCCTTTTGGTTTATGAGGTTATGGGCTACAAGATTTGCTCAAGATAAACTTGAAGGTCATCTTCCTCAAATTCCATGGCAAGGTGCAGAACATTGGGGCCTTCATTGGTGAACATTTCCAACAATCAAGACGGTTTGAAATCTCTTCCATTATCTCAAAATGTACATTAGCATAATTGTCTTACTGAATTTGATTAATCTCCATCTCTATTCATCAAAAAGATTACAAATGTTATCTGTAACATATAGGAGGTATTATTAAACTCCAACATGTGCGTATAAAAACGAAAAAGATTCTTTATAATTAATATCCAAGGAAAGGAATAAAATGTTGCCTATAGTATTTCACAATTTGCATTTGCACCCAAAAAAGGTGTTTATCAGGTGTCAAGAATTTGCTGTCTTCTTTGAAATGGAAGAACGCAATGGTGGTGCTAGATACTCTCCAATATGAGAAAGAAAATCAAGATCCAACAAGACCTTTACATCGAGCATAAGAAATGATAAGTACAAAAAGGATGGCACAAAATGCCTCGGAGAAAATCACCAACTGGAACCATCCATTTTAAGTGTAAGAAACCACAATATAGGATGAGAAATTTACCATCAATATAGCATTATTGAAGTTCAATGCTAACCCATTTAAACATGTATCTGTGATCATCATTCCAAGTATACAGAATGTTCATGCCAAATATGCCGGCTACCAAAGAATAAATAGATAAACATACAGTTCCAGAACTGAGAAAGAGCTCCAACTGTAGCCACTCGATAAAGAAAATGAATTATACATTCAATGAAACCCGCAAAACGACTATTATACTTGTCACAATCTTTGTGATTATGTAGACAAGCTGAAAAGAAATTTAGGAAAAATATCATGTAATTTAACCATGCATATAACAAACCTGAATCAATTCATTTCGATGATTATCCAGCCGAAACGAAAAATGATTAAAAAAAATGTTCAATGGTTTTAGATTGCTATGCATTCAAGACGTAAATGTTTATTGATCAAACAAAGTTGCGGGGAATTTTTTTACCTGAATGTTGATGTAGTCTTCTGTGTTATCAATATATTCATGCAGCTGCAACATTTCAAGTAGAGAACTGTCAAAATTGAGAGGGAAAGAAGATAGCGATCTAAGATGTGGCATTAACTCCCCAAGTAGACCACTTGTATAGTGAATATTATGCATGGCGAAGTAAAGCATAAGAAGACCATTCCATGATAATGGTTCTTCATTCCAAACACAGCAAATCGTTTAATCAGATTAATGTTTCCTATAGGCTCCCTTTGGATATTGGTATTCAAAAAAGTGGGAAACACTACATAAACCTTTTCCAGATTTTGGTTCGAAAAGGAAACAGAAATTAGAGGCCTATATAAAATTATTACGGGAGACAACTGCCAATTTATAAATTTATTTATTTCCCTTTTCATGACATTCAACAAGCATATATAAACATAATTCCAGGAGACATCTGCTAATTCATAAATTTATGTATTTCCTTTTCCATGATGCTCAACAACAATCAAAAGTTCTCAAATATGATATTATTTTGATAGAAATGATAATTTATTTCACCATTTTGCTTTGCCTTTTCACTTTCCTCCATCAATACCAAGATACAAACAGTCCATGTTTAGAATTAGAATTTGGAGTAGCAGCTCCATAAATGCTCACATTTAACAGATCCAAAAGACCCTTGTTTTAAAAGAAAAAATAAAATCTTCCATGCCGGGAAGCAAACTGTTGCCACAAAATAAAAAGAACATTTTTTTTCCAAAATATATAAATAAATGATAGACATGCAGTAGTTAATTTGTTAAAGAGTGCCATCAATCTGCATGAAGTATGCCTGCGAGAAGAGCCACTTGTTACAAAATGTCTCTGTATATCCTAACCATTATGTAGTCTGATTTGTTACCTCAAATAACATCTCAAGTTCCTCAGCATCATTCTCTTCCCTGGGAACTGTTGCTATACTAGCCCTACTGGCTCTAGATTTCTTTGAGCCTATAGTAGGTGATCCAAGGAACCAAGTAGCAGCACCTGAGCCACTAACAGGTGATGCAACGGCCAACTTTCTAGAAAGGTAAAGGTCTGCCACATCGTTGTCCAAGAGTTGTTCTAGCTCATCCCTCAGCTGTAGTCCATTACAAGAACAAAACCAGAAGGATTGAATACCATAATCTCTCGTTAAGATTTTCAAAATGCATTTAGGACTATGAAGTGAAGCCAAGCTCAAGAATACAGTGGCATTATTTAAGAATTTCACATGATGCATCACTTGAAGACTTAGAAACCGTGTCATATCAAATTAGTTATCAGCTTAAGTTAATCATCTACTCGTGCTAAATGAACTCTTCTGATTTAAATCAGCTTGCAGTAACCGTGGATGACATCTGAACTTGTATCACAAGAAAGGATATGAGATGATTTGCTTTGAAGAATGTATAATTGCCTTTTCCATTAAGTTTACATATCTATGACAGCATTTCAAATTTAAGTCGTGTGCCTATTTTACAGAACAAGATATCATAGATACCAGAAGCTGACCATACATATAATCAACTAATTTAATGGCTAGTTAAATGTTAATATGAAACTATGCCTATGTTTGGCCCCAATTTTTTTAAAACTCATTTTTTCCCAAACTCATTTTCAACCACACATTTTATGGGACCTACATATTTTATCAATTTTTCAACCATACATTTCATTATCTTTTATCAAAATTCTAGTAAAATATTATTTTTGGTCAAATCAAACAAGGGCTAAAGCAATTTACAATTTGTAAGGAGTGGAATCTATAATCATTTATCATGCATGATAAAAGAAATGCATAATTGCCCACCAGGACAACTATAAGCAAGGAAATTACTATAACTATTCACTGCATATGTAGACGTTGGCAAATATGCAAATACAACTCAAACAATGAACAGTGAAATTATTGCAACTTTTCACAAAAAATTTGGGATGGAGGGAAAGCACCACATTTTGCACACGGGCAGTCAACCTTGTCATTTGACTTTTCAATTTGCAAACTCTGTCTAAGTTACGGCTATTAATCTGCAATTACAGTAGTTTAAAGAATTAGTAGAAGATCCTTAAAGAAACTATAAAAGACACAGAAAATTACAAGGACGAGAGAAAATACAAAGTAAAAACTTATATCCATTCACAAGAGATCTGCAATTTGAACAGATGCCATCACAATTTAACTAAAATTCCATAAACTATTGAAGGTCCTTTCGAAAAGTTTCACTGCATTAAGATTTAAATTATTAAATGAAGCAGTATTCTACTGCTGGAGACCATCCACTACCACTGATGAGTGCACTATGCTAAGGTCAGATGTAGCAGATACCAAAAACAAATTCTGCAACCATGTGGAGAAGAGCTTTTTCTAGGTTAGGTCAATAACATCTGACATACAAAGCAACCCTAATAGTGGATCTGTTCTTTTTGAAAGCTGGGGTATTAGTAAATTTAGCAAAAATAGGACAGCAAAAGAAATGAACTTTTGATGTAAGCATATGTAAAGCTGGACAGACAGCAGTCTCCAATTCTATAGTGCGGGCAGTAAGAAAACTACACACGATTTCCAATGCCACTTCTAGAACCTAAAACTCAAAAGGAGAGTTTGCGTGGAATCATGCAGATCATTAGGTAGTATTGTAGACTCCATATATAGAATGAGAAATGGATTGATCTAACAAGATAGAAGAGAAAACTGCAAGGTATACTCATTTATATTTATCAACCCAAGCGATTATCAGTAATTTATGCAACAGGCAATAACCATCCAATGAAAGGAATCAAAATAATATAAGGAAAACCATTCTCTTCAACCGTTTTGGTATCATGCTGCACAACAAACTCCTTGCATCTCTGAGATTTTCATGATTAGCACTTACTGGTTTTAGCCACCTTCGTAGTTTTCGTATAACCGGAGTAAAATTATAATCGGATGGGTCAAGAAGCAGCACCTAAACAGTAGTGAGTTAAAATCACAATTCACAGTCCACATATAGTGCTCCAATGTATTACTCAACAACAGGCCAGGAAGCTTATCAAATCTTCCATTTACAAATCCTAATTTCGAAAAGAAAAAATGCAATAGTCTCAATAAGATACATAGTCTTTTATTTGCGGTGTCATCATTCGGCAACCGCAAGGCACAAGCAAGACAAGGTTGTATCAGAGAGTATAATAGGGAAAGCAATCAACGGACAAAACTTCAGGTGGTTCCTCAATTAACAAACAAGTCTAGCTGACAGAAATTAAAGATATAAAAAAATCCCTGGAAGCTAAAAGAAAAAATTAAAAAAGAAAAAGAAAAAATGAAGCATTTCCAATTGTTTTTAAACTATGCAACTCTGTAAAAGCTTCAAATAATAAACAAAGTGCTCCCATCTTTCTCTTTTACTTAGTTCATATAATTATATTCAATGTTGAACTGTTTTTGTCAGCTATAAAAAACCAAGACGAGAAAGCCACACGCCTGAAAAAACCATCTTCTATTCTACCATGTCAGTAAGTGACTTATTGCTGAAAAACAAGAACAAATACAAATTTCATTTTGATAATGCTATTAGTGAGCCAATAAGCTTACACTTGAATTATAAGAAACATTGCACTTGATTTTCAATTTCCATGAGGATTCAAGGAAACATATTAAATTCCAATAACAAACTGGTTCATTTCCCTTGTCACTCACTTCCATGATATTGCTCTATTAATTTAAATAGTTGAATTGGCATCGGTTTCACTTGTTTGTCGCCTTACTATTATATCAATATTTTTATCTTAGAACCTAGTATATTACATGTTTTCACCAGCTATGGAAAGATTATTTGATAAGAATCAAGGACAAAAATTAGAAGAAAAGCCTAAATGATGAGGGGGAAAACAAAACTCACCTCTTCAGCAGTAATTATGGCCTTGATATGCTGCACTAACCTACAATCACATCCAATGAAGAAAAAAAAAAGAAGAAGAAGAAGAAGAAGAAGAAGGTAAATTAATAACATTATAATCAAATTTAACTGTAATTCCACGATACAAGTACAAAACTAAGGATATATAACTATTTATAAAATTCAATTCAAAAGACATGCCAAAACTCAATAAGAAGAATGTTATCAATACTGAACTAAAAATCATTAAAAAAATAAAATAAAAAATCAATATTCCTTTACGAGGGGAAAAAGCTTTAAATATAGGTTTAAAAATTCAATCTTTTCTCTTTAAATTTAAATCTTCAGGTGAATAAAATGGGCCCTTAATTTTGCACTCCAAGACTCCCTTTTTACATTAACAATTACATTGAAATAAAAACTAGAAAGAGAAAAATAAAAGAACTAGTAAATTAAATAAATGCAAAATTCACCTCTAAATTGAGAACGATAGCTTTCTCCCGGCGAAGTATGGTAGTAGGGTAAGACAATAGGGGATCAAGAATTTGAAGATCACGGGAGTGGATTTGCACCCTGTGCATGATTGAGTATTTATCAACGTACAGGATGATCTCCTCGCTCTAAGAGTCCATAAGGATATCGATACAAAAGGGTTGCACAATTCGAGGTTGTGCACCTTCTGAGCAGAAAAGAGAAGAAGAGAATTGAAAATTTTAGTCCGTGGTTGGTTTGTCGTTTTCGGCCCATTTTTCGTTTTCCGTTTTTGAAAACGCGTTTGGTCCGTCGTTTTCGAAAATGCGTCTTTGAAAACGAGTTAAAATTTATAACTGAAAACGCAAAACGACTTTTTATCGTTTTCAGTTATAAATGTCGAAAACGCTCAAAATACGAAAAACGAGCCGTTTTTGGGGAAAACTAAAAATCATTTTGAAAATGAAAATGGAAAATGAAAACGCAAACCAACCACCACCTTAGATTTTGCTTGCTTTACTTCATAAATCCTTACACGTATACGGCATGGGGAAGGTTATGCCCTCTTGCCTCACAATAGGACAGCTGTCCAATTGTTTAAAACAGAATAACTAGAATGAAAATGCTAAGCTACAGCAGTCTATTGCTAATACTAATATTCCTTCAACCACATGGATGACTTACATGTCCTCTTGACTGACATGGGTTCCTCTTGATTTGTTAGCGTGGCAAGTGTTCCCATATCATCCCCCAACCCTTCAGACTCGACATTGTCCTCAAGGTCAAACTTTGGGAATAGAACTCTAAACTCATCAATAGGAATCCAAGAAACATCTTCAAGCAGCAAACTGTCTCATTGTACTAGTAGCTGGAGCTTGATGTCTTCTCCATCATGCACATGTCTGGTTCGAAGAGTAGCAATAGGTTCAATGACTGGATGGTTGTCTACTATAGTAGAGGTCAATAGAGCAACATGGATGTTGCTGTCCTGTTTGTATGGTTTCAAAACTGATACATGAAACACGTGATGCAGCTTTACATTTCTGGTAGCTAGACCATGTATGCCACTGGACCTACTTGAGCCTTAATCAGAAATGGTCCATAAAATCTTTTGCTGAGTTTGGAGAAAGGTTGTTGAGCTATTATAGTTTCCCTGTATGGTTGCAATTTTATTAACACCAAATCGCCAACTTGAAAGTGTTGTTCATGCCAGTGTTTGTCGGTGCATTGTTTCATACGGTTCTATGCATGTTGCAGATGAATTTTATGTTCTAAAAACAATTAATCTCTTCTTTGCAATGTCTCTTCAATGGCTTCTACAACAATGTCTGGACGCGAGCATGGTATAAGATTAGGCAGAGAACGACCATAAACCACCTGGAATGGTGTGTTCTTGATTGAGGAATGATATGCCATACTGTATGAGTACTCTACCCAAGACAAATACTTGTACCAATGTGCGGGGTGATCAAAAGTGAAGATGCGAAGATATTGTTCAAGTCGTCTATTGGTGACGTTTGTTTGACCATCCGTCTATAGGTGGTAGGCACTGTTTTATATCAACTTAGTTCCACTGAGTCGAAATAATTCCTGCCAAAATTTACTAATGAAAATGGGGTCTCAATCACTGATTATCGTAGAAGGGATGCCGTGCAACTTGCAAACATTCTGAACAAAACTTATGCTACTTTTGTGGCAATAAAACCAGTTGGAAGGGCCGCAAATTGGGAATACTTGGACAGTCGATCGACCACTACCATTATGGCTGTAAAGCTATGTGACAGAGAGAGCCCTACTATAAAGTCCACAGAGAGGTCTTCCCATATTTTGATTGGATTCTCGAGTGGTTGCAAGGTACTTGTAGAAGCCTATGTCTCATACTTTGTTTGCTGACACACTGGACAAGTTTGCACATAATGCTTAATATCTTCCGGCATACGTGGCCACTCAAATTGTGACCGCACCCTAGCCGTGGTCCGAAGAATACCGTTATGTCTCCCAATAGGCGTATCATATAGTTCCCGAATGATTTCCATCTTGTGGTTGGACTTCGAGCCTACAATAATTCGATCGCTATGCCAAATCAACGCTTGGTGCATCTGATGATGGGGAAATTTTGCTCCATTTTGATTATTAGCTTGCTGTAGTTAAACAAAGTCAGGCATCTGAGTAGTCTCGTGCTTCAATTTTTTCAAAAGCAAACTGGTCTGATGTGTCAGTGTCAACAACGTAAGTGACCCTTCAAAATTAGCACCCTCATCATCTTTTCGAGACAGAGCACCAGCTACACTGTTACTAATCTCTGGGTTAGAAAGAATTTAAAAGTTAAACCAAGCAGTTTAACTAACAATCTTTGCTGGTCAGGTGTTTGGATTTTTGTGTCATCATTCTAATGCTCTTTTGATCTATTTTGATAAGAAACTTCATGCCTAACAGATATTGTCTCCGTTTAGCCACGGCCTCCTTAATTGCATACAACTTTTGCACATATGCGGAAGCCTAATGCATTTTGGGCTTCAGCTTTTAGCTAAAATATGCTATGGGATGCGAATCTTGGATTCGGACAACTCCAATTCCCACTCTCGATGCATCTGTTTCTATGGTAAATGATTGCTCGAAATCTGGTAATGCTAGGACCGGGGCTTGAGTCATGGCCACCTTTAATTGTTGAAAGGCCTGATCTGCTGAAGGTGACCATTTGAAAGCATCTTTCTGGAGCAGTAAAGTAAGTGGGGGCATGATGTGAACCCGTGTAGGCAAATGCTGCCAAACCCACGATCAAGATTGAAAATCGACTCAAGAAAGCCAAAGCAAGGTTTTGGATTCAACTCAACAAATTTGGAACCAAGCAACCCGAATCGCCGACGATGTGCGGACCTCTTGATTACGCAAAAAAATATGTGAATCTCACCCGGTTGATTTGAATGCCACAAGATTTAAATCTTGATAAGTTCGTAGATTGTCCAATTGAAGAACACGGGAAGAAAGCAATAAAAGCCTCTTAATAATAATAATGCAAAAAGTTTCAATACAATGAATAATAATGAGTAATTATACTAAAATCCTAAGATATGGTAAAAACGTGCATAATCTCCAAAATATACTAAAATTATGGAAAGAAATAAATTCTATCAAAAAATAGAAAATTCGCAAAATTTGAAAAAATTCTCCCCAAAATAGAACCATGCGGCCGCATGGAACAACCATGTTCGGCCTATTAACGCCCTATTCCTATCTATGCAATCGCAAGAGGTGGAGACTATGCGGTCGCATGGTTCTTCACTTCGACTCCGTTTTCGCCCACTTTTAAAACATTGATCCAAGCTTCTTCGGCCTTCGATCCCAACATGAAACTTGCTCCATTTTGAATCCTGAACATGGTTTCATCAACGGTTGCCTTGATGGGCAATTCCAACTCCTCTTTCACACGCTTCGCGCTCGATCGTGTCATCGGTTCACTATCGACTATCAATGGATCTTTCCCCGAGCTTAACGTTGGACTTGACTTCAACGCTTGCGTATCCTAGATCACATCATCCCCTCCCTCTTCGAAACGATTCGTCCTCGAATCTGAACCTACATCAAAGAGAGCAAGATCAGACGCATTAAAAGTTGTTGAAACGTTATACTCACTTGGAAGATCTAATTTGTATGCGTTGTCATTGATCTTCTCAAGCACTTGAAATGGTCCATCTCCCCGTGGCTGCAACTTTGATTTTCTCATTTTCTCTGTTTTGCGAATCGCTCTTTCCTGAAGTGCACCCAAACCCAATCTCCTGGTTCGAAGGTAACAATCTTCCTGCTCTTATTTGCTTGCTTGGCATAATTCTTGCTCTTCTTCTCAATTTGCTCTCGTACCTTTTCATGAAGTGACTTCACCAACTCGGCCTTTCTCTTTCCATCCAAGCTACCTCACTCATTTACATGCAAAAGTATTGAATCCATAGGCGCTATTGGATTAAAACCATAAACAATCGCAAATGAAGAAAACGACATAGTGGAGTGTGTGGGCCTATTATATGCAAACTCTATGAAAGGTAAACATTCTTCCCAATTTTTCAAGTTTTTATTAATCACAGTGCGCAATAGCTGTGTCATGGTCCTATTCACTACTTCATTTTGACCATTGGTTTGTGGGTGACAAGTTGTAGAAAATAATAATTTGGTGTCTAACTTATTCCACAAGACCCTCCAAAAGTGACTAAAAAATTTGACATTCCATCTGACACAATACTCTTAGGTACTCCATGCAAGCGCACAATTTCTTTAAAGAACAAGTCTGCAATGTTAGTAGCATCATCGATTTTGTGACATGGAATTAAATGTGTCATTTTACTAAACCTATCCACCACTACAAAAATCGAATCCCGTCCCCTTTTAGTCCTAGGTAAACCTAACACAAAATCCATAGAAATGCTTACCTAAGATTCACTAGGCACTGGCAAAAGTGTGTAAAGTCCATGAGGCAAGACCTTAAATTTAGCCTTTTTTACAAGTTATGCATCGACTGCAAATACATTCCACATCAACTTTCATTTTAGGCCAATAAAAGTGTTCAGTTAATATTTCTAAAGTCTTTGCTACCCTAAAGTGACCCATTAGTCCCCCACTATGTGCTTCTCTAACCAACAACTCACGCATAGAGCAATTAGGAACACATAATTTGTTTTCTCTAAACAAGTACCCCTCATACTTAAAAAACTTATATACAACCCCCTAATGGCATGAATTGTAAATGTTAGAAAAATCAAGATCATTATCATACATGACCTTAATGTACTCAAAGTCAAGTAATTTCGCACTTAAAGTAGTTAGAAGCACATACCTTCATGACAATGCCTTACCTTGTTTGTAACAGATGACATATGGAAAAGTTTCTATGAACTCCATCCAGAATGCATGTCGTTTGTTCAACTTACCTTGACCCCGCAAATGCTTCAACGATTCATGGTCAGTGTGAATTACGAACTCCTTTGGCCATAGGTAATACTGCCATGTCTCTAAGGCTCGAACAAGTGAATAGAGCTCCTTTTCATATGTAGGATAGTTGAGAGCTGCACCACTTAGCTTTTCACTAAAGTAGGCTATCGATCTCTTATCTTACATTAAAACTGCTCCAATACCTATTCTAATGCATCACACTCAATTTCAAAAGTTTTGTCAAAATTAGGAAGTGCTAAAATCGGTGCTTTACACAAACAATCTTTGATGGTGTTGAATGCGGGTTCTTGTTCTACCTCTCATTGAAATTCCACGTTTTTCTTGACAATTTCAATTAGTGGCGTAGTAATCGTGCCTAGTCAATCCATGAAAACTTCTAACTTCAGTTATGCTTTTAGGTGTTGGTTAATCCTTAATAGTCTTTATTTTCTCTTCATCTACCTCTGCACCATTAGCACTAATTACAAAGCCTAGAAATACAACTCTATCCATGCAAAATGTGTGCTTTTTAAAATTGACATAAAGTTGTTCTTTCTTCAAAACCATAAGCACACACTTCAAGTGTTCTACATGCTCATCAAGATTCTTGCTACAAATTAAAATGTCATCAAAATAAATTACAACAAATTTTCAAATGAAAGCACGCAAAACATGGTTCATTAATCGCATAAAAGTGTTTGGTGCATTTGTGAGCCCAATAGCATGACTAACCATTCATACAACCCGTATTTAGTTTTGAAAGTCGTCTTTCATTCACCACCCTCGCTCATGTGAATTTGATGATACCCACTCTTAAGATCAATTTTGCTAAATATGCATGCACCATGTAGCTCATCTAACATGTCATCTAGCCTAGGAATTGGTGACGATATTTTACCGTTATGTTATTGATGGCTTTGCAATCCACACACATTCTCCAAATTTCACTTTCTTTGGCACCAGCAGTACAGGTACGACACATGGACTCATGTTTTCCCTCACATAACCCTTGCTCATCAATTCGTCCACTTGTCTCTGAAGCTCCTTTTTCTCCTCTGGATTACTCCGATAAGTTGGTCAGTTAGGAATGACAGCCCAGGTATAAAATTAAATTTGGTGCTCAATTCCCCTAATGGGCGGTAACCCACTAGGCACATCCTCCAAAAATACATCTTCAAATTCCTGCAACAAAGAAATAGCCAAACTAGGGAGGGATGCGTTAGGCTTCTCAAAGTTGATGAGTGACTCGTTGTAAACCAATAGTATCATTTGTTGTCTCTCCATTATTGTCTTTTTCAATTCACTCCCTCTCGCAAATAAAGTTTGTTTCGAGTTTTCTCTCCTCACGGAAGGTTCTCTTTCTTCTCTCATGTGGTCTCACTCTCTTTTTTTCTCTACTGACCACCTCACTATTTTCTCTCTTTTTCTCTAACTCCCTTACTCTCAATTCTTCTTCATTTTTCAGTTGAATTTGGTCATCATATACTTGTGCCGGTGTTAATAGCGCAAGAGTGACAAACCTTCCATCTTTCACAAAACTATACTTATTCTTATACCCATCATGCACTGCCTTCCTATTGTATTGTCATGGTCTTCCTAACAAGATATGCTCCGCATGCATGAGTACAATGTCACACATCACCTCATCTTGATATTTACCAATAGAAAAATTAATTAACACCCTTTTTGTCACCTCGATTTCCCCACATTCATTTAACCATTGAAATCTATAGGGCCGAAGGTGCTTTAATAATGTTAAACCCAATTTTTTCACCATATTAGTGCTAGCCACATTAGTACAACTTCCACCATCAATTATTACACTACATACCTTGTCATTAATGTGACACCGCGTGTGGAATATATTTTCTCGCTGCTGCTCCAGGTCATCCGCCTTGATTTGAGTGTTGCAAGCTCGCCCCACGACCAACAGCTTACCTCCAACCGCATACTCCGTGGTGTCTTCTTTATCAGCATTCTCCAATTCTGGCATGTCTGCATAATCACCTTCACTTTCAGTTTCCACTTCTCCGCTGTCCCGCAAAATCATCTTTTTCTTGTTTGGGCATTGAAAAGCAATGTGCCCCATTCCCAATCAACGAAAACATTTGATATC